GTTACGACCAGATCTAGCCCTGGCAGTAAGTCCATCCTTACCTGACACTATCCAAGATGCAATAGATAGAGCTAAGGCTTATGAGATGACCTACTCTAGAGGAGGAACCTTGTCAGCATATTCAGCAGAACAATTCATGCCTAGCATTCCAGGGATGAATCCACGAAGTAATCAATCATTGCAAGGATGGATTTTGGTATTTCTTATTGGTAATTATTACCTATTTTCTTTTTTGATATCACCTTCCTCACAAATTTAATTAACTATTATTTTTAATTTGATTTGCGTCAAGGTGTTGTTGTTGCATGTGTTGCTGGAATAGTTGATGTAACTGCCGAATGGGGTTCAGATTTAAAGGATGGATATTGTTCAAATGGTATTACATTGAAAAAACATTTTTGCTGTGAAAATCAAAAACTTGGTATGAAAAATTTTTCAAAATGTTTATAGTAGTAATGTATGAGAAACTTTTTAATTTTTATACACATTTGCATATATATTTATCTTACTCAGAATCATGAATTGTTCTGCTGAATACGCTGACAAGGTTCCTCCTCTAGAGTAAGTCATTTCATAAGCCTTAGTTCTTTCAATTGCATCTTGGATAGTGTCAGGTAAGAATGGACTTACTGCCATGGATAATTCTGGTCGTAACCTTTCTATGAACATTCTCGCTTTGACTCTTTCTGGATAGTTGTTTCCCCCATGTTCAATTCTCCTGAACAATTCATATATATGTGCTGCGAAAGCACCCACTGTTTCTCCAGGTAGTTGTTGTTTACGTTTTCCCAATTCTGCTACCCACCCTTCTTCCATTGCTTTTGACTTATATCTCCTTTTGAAAGTTCGGAACAAAGCTTGCTGCTATTGTATTATTATTAGTGTTATCATCCTACCGGTCTATATTTCCCCTGACTTGAGTCCACCATGTTGCTTCTCCTTTTAATCTTGGTACTGTCATTGCTAGTCTTCTATTATTTGCTACTCTATTCGTTACAATGGCCTTTTCCATTTCTTCCAATCATGTGATTGGGTCCTGATCTCCTCCATAGTATTCTGGGTACTTAACATTATTTAATTCGGCAGGTGCTGCCGTTGCTGGTGGATGGATTGCATTTAGGTTGATTAAAAAGTTGGTTGAAACCAAATGTTGATTCGTTTGAGTTACTGTCTGAATCACTATCTGAGTTTGAATCACTAAATATTGTTGAGTCACTACTTTCACTAGGATTGTCTTCTTCTTCTTCTTCAGTTATGGGTTCCGGGGTGCTTCGTTCAAGGCTATCCTAAAGTAATGAGTTCCTCTAGCTGCTAAAAAGTAATCCTGAACTATTGTATTTAAACTTCTCGGGTGTACTCTGTATCTAATACTAATTAATAATACTCTGACAAGTTGTATTAGTTGAACTGGACCTTGTTCTAATAATATTTGTTCGAAAGTGGTTACAGTTTCTGAAGTGCACTCTATCGCTTGATGTGTTTCTTGTATCCAATCCCAAAAGATTGAAATTGTGGTGAAAAATTTCGATTGATAGGATGACAAATTGAACAAGATATATCACTATGTGCTTGTGATATATCTCTTATATGTGGGTATTTGGTTATGGATCCTTGTATTTTCCTGGATGATTTGTATTGTTTCTTGACTAGGATCTATGTTCATTCAATTAATCCTCGTAAGGATCTTCGTCGTATGGTACTTCTTCAGGAATGTCTTCAAAGGAAACTTCTTCCCGAAAAATAAATTACTCTTTAATTATTTTTGTTGCAATTCTCTTCCGAACGCCCCTTTCTTTTGCAGTAGTTGCAAGATGGTTCCTTTTGGAAAACGAATTCGATCTCCTCTTCAATTAATCCTTGGATCCTGCAGTTTCTTTTAATGTATCCTTGAATCCCGCAGGAATAACACTTTTTGTTTAATGAGGATTTTTAAATGGCTTTTCTGCCTCTTGATAGTGTAACTTGAATAGTTGGTTTGGATTTTCAGCGAAATAGTTATAAACCAAATTGATAATCTTTTATAGAACTTGTTGATAAACACGTTTAAAAATTTCTGATTTAATTGATTCAATATTGTATTCTCTTAATTGCATTTACGAATCATTGATAGAAAATAAAGAATAAGGAGGTTACCTCATAAGGTATAAAATAAAAATAAAAATAAGAGGTAAAATAATTAACCTCGGAAGGTAATAGAATGAAAAAAATAAAAGCTACCTCGCAAGTTAATATATAAAATAAAAATAAAAATTGAAAATGTAAATTATGCAATTAAAAAGAATTCCGCAGATTTTTGATTATAGTTTATCTTGGTGTAAATTTCCACACAACTCGCACCAAGTTGTCACCGATTAAATTTGGGAGAGCGTATTTTAATAGGTGATGACAATTATTTTTGTTTTTGTGTGGATCAGAATGAATATCAACGAATCGAGCGAATAATTTTGTTTAAAAAAGATAAAAGCGTTAAATAAAATAAATATTTACTATTTTATCTATTTAGTTATTTAGTTTTTCTTAGTCAAAACTAATTAACTTATTTTACATTATACATATTCATTTACATATTAGCCCGAATTGGGCGAATCCGCCCACTTTGTACTTGGACGATTCCGCCCCGGTCCGGGATAATCGTCATTAATCTCTACTAAATAAAGTTAAATAAATATGAACGTGCTACGGATTGATTAATAATAATAATAATACGCGAAACGTAACACGAATTCAGATGATAATAAATAATTATCAACAACCAAAGGGTACAAACAAATCAGGTCATTAATTAACAATCCAATTCATAATAATAATGGCAAAAGGTTAATTCGAAATATACGTTGTGAATAACTTTTAAAAGTCAAAGATATCAATAATTAAATATATAGAAGCTTTTGGTCTTTATATACGTGATCGGAATTAGATAAACTCATTATCATCATTGTTGTATTGTTCATATATATATGTATGTGTTTATTATGATGGGAAATGAATGAAATAATAAAATAAAGATTTATAATTATTTGTATCACTAATATATAATAAGGAGGTCGGTCCATCCATATTAAGTGGATCATATACGGCGATCAATTAACTAATACCAATTAAAATAAATCATGTGAGTTATGGTGCCCCCTAATGGAAAAAAGGGGTAAGTAAATACATGAATGATTTATTTCTTTAAATACTGCCCTATAAAACTTTAAAATTTTTTTCTCCAAAAAAAAAATTATGAGCCAAAATCAAAATTCAATTATTCCAGTGGATACTCAAATTGATTCAATATTGGAGGAGAACGAACCACAAGTTACACCAACTGAAACCACTTCATTACTTGAAAATGCCGAGCCTTTCCGACGATATAGTCATTTCCCCTCGAATGATAGTAATAAGTTGGTTTTTGCTATAATACCAAGAGTATATCCTTAGTCAATGTTTTATTAATTAATTAATAATTAACAATTTTTTTAATAGTGGTAATCAGCACCCAAAAAGACCTTTTGTTAATAGAAGACACACCTGGAACCCTTCACACATTCGTAAACTTACAGCTCCTATAACGCATTATAAAAGGCGAAGCGGCTTTTATGATGAAGATAAACATGAGTTAGTTCGTGAAGGTGGCGGAATTCGTGTCTGGTATGATGATTACACAACTATTGGTAAGTACTTCCCCGATCTGAATAATTTTTTATATTAGATCATACTATAACACGTGACACATGACATCAGATTGGATCCATGATTATATTAAGGAACGTGTCCGAGTTCGTAAATTGTACTCTCGTAAAGGTTTCTCGGGATGGGTTATAAAATCTTGGGACGGTTTACAAGGATGGATTTTGGTATTTCTTATTGGTAATTATTACCTATTTTCTTTTTTGATATCACCTTCCTCACAAATTTAATTAACTATTATTTTTAATTTGATTTGCGTCAAGGTGTTGTTGTTGCATGTGTTGCTGGAATAGTTGATGTAACTGCCGAATGGGGTTCAGATTTAAAGGATGGATATTGTTCAAATGGTATTACATTGAAAAAACATTTTTGCTGTGAAAATCAAAAACTTGGTATGAAAAATTTTTCAAAATGTTTATAGTAGTAATGTATGAGAAACTTTTTAATTTTTATACACATTTGCATATATATTTATCTTACTCAGAATCATGTGCCGAATGGGTTGAATGGTCCAGTGCATTTAAAATGGAAGATTCCAAAAAAAGCGCTTGGTTTAATTATTTTGCCTATGTGTTTGTTGCTGTAAGCTTTTTCAGAACATCAATATATTACTTTTACAAAATTTATTAATATAGATAATAATTGATTATTTTATAAAGTTTTGTTTTGCAGTTGGATCAGCCTTACTTGTGAAACACAATTCACTTTATGCATCACCTTCTTCAAAACGTTCAATAAGATCAAACAATAATTCACAAAAAAGTAGACAACCTAAACCATATGCTTCTGGTAGTGGTATACCTGAAGTTAAAACAATTTTAAGTGGCTTTGTTATTCGTGGATTCCTTGGTATAAGAACACTTTGGGTTAAAGCCATTGCATTGGTTTGTATATTATTATTATTATTATCAAGTAAACTTGTCACAGATATTTTATTTTATTTTATTAATTGAATCCATTAGGCAATGGCAGTATCGTCTGGAATGACTCTTGGAAAAGAAGGCCCATTTGTTCATATAGCATGTTGTGTTGGCAATGTGATAAGTAGATTATTCCATAAATATAATAAAAATGAAGGGAAAAGAAGAGAAATATTATCTGCATCAGCTGCAGCTGGTGTAAGTGTAGCATTTGCTGCACCAATTGGTGGTGTATTGTTTTCTTTGGAAGAAGTTAGTTATTATTTTCCAAGTAAAACTTTGTGTAGAAGTTTCTTTTGTGCAATTGTAGCAGCCGTTTCTCTAAAGGTTTTTAAACAAATACTTTTTTCTAATTCATTAAAATTTTTATTTTTTTATTAAATAAAAAATTTTTGTTTTTAATTATTCATTAGCTTATAGATCCATTTGGCACTGGTAAAATTGTAATGTTTCAAGTAAAATATGATAAAGACTGGCATTTTTTTGAAATTGGATCATTTCTAATCCTTGGTATATTAGGTGTATGTAGTAAAGAAACCAATTTTCACATTATGGGATATATAAAAATAATCAGTCAATTATTTTCTATTATTTAGGGATTATTTGGAGCACTATTATGTAAATGCATTATTTTATACACTAAATATGTTAGAAATGGCACCAGACTTAAACAATGGCCAATAATAGAAGTAGCAATGGTTGTTATTCTCACTTCATCTCTTAATTATTTAAATCCTTTTACAAAGTAAACTGTGTATTTTTATTTATTTTTTTTTAAATTATTTCAGTATTTTATTTCTGACACATAACTTTACTTTTAAAAATAGGATATCAAATACTGATTTAGTGGCAAATTTATTTAGTGAATGTTCAGATAAAAAAGATTCATTAGGTCTTTGTGTGTAAGTTTAATATACATATATATGTATATGTTCATAATAATAATAATACTTTTATTAATATTAAATTTAATAGATATTCGGCCAAAGATGTATATCCAATATTTTATTTACTTGCAGTGGCCTTAATCTCCAAATTTTTAACATGTATAATAACTTTTGGTATAAGAACCCCAGCTGGTATATTTATACCTGCATTATTAATTGGTGCATGTTTTGGTAGAATGTTGGGATTGGTTGTACAATGGCTTACCTTGTAAATTAAATAATAATTAATAATAATGATTTTTTTTCTTTAAAAAAAAAAAGAATTATTATTTATATAATCTTCATTAATTTAATTTAGTCAGTACCCGGATTCTCCAGTGTTTGAACAATGTGATCCAAGAGCACCAAATGATTGTGTGATACCTGGTGTATATGCGATGGTAGGAGCTGCTGCTGCTTTAGCTGGTGTGACTAGAATGACAGTTTCTTTAACAGTAATTATGTTTGAATTAACAGGTGCATTAACATATGTGTTAGTAAGTATTGACAATGGTATATAATATTTGGATTTATTAATTCACTAATTTATTAATAATAAAAATTTCCATAATTAGCCAATAATGACTTCAATAATGATATCTAAATGGGTAGCAGATGGATTTGTTCATCATGGAATTTATAATTTGTTGATTGACTTGAATGAACATCCTTTTTTGGATGCAAATGCTGAATATATTCAAGCAACAAATACATTTGATTTGACACAAAAAGATTTAGAAGTTATTGATGTTAATGATTTGAATACTGTGGGTGAATTAAAAGCAAAATTAAAAAATTTATGTATGTATTTTATTAAATATCCTGTAATATTATTATTATTAGCTAATTAATTATATTTTACAATAGCAATTTCAGGTTATTCAGACACAGGATTTCCAATAATAGATAATAATATGTTGGTAGGATATATAGCATCAACAGAATTGGAACATGCATTAAATGATTTGCCACCAAAATATGATGCTACAACAAGATGTTATTTCAAAGAACCTGAATTTAGTGTTATTCAAAATCCTGATAAATCTGTGGATTTTACTGTTTATATGGATCAAGTAAATAACTTTTATTTTTTTTTTAAAAAAAAAAAAACTTTTAAAAATTTAAATTTTTTATTTCATTAATTAATCATTTAAAAAAATTATATATTTATAGGCTCCATTAACTGTATCAAAAAATTCATCATTAGAAGTTATATTAGAATTATTTAAAAAATTGGGATTAAGATATGTTTGTGTGACTGAAAATGGTCAATATGTTGGTGTTATACACAAAAAATGGTTACTAAGATATTTAAAGGAGATGGAAGGAAAAAAAGAAGATTAGGTTGATTTAATTTATTTTGATTTCCAGAACAATAAATGGGGCATGTCCCAAATATTATAGAACATAAAATCCCATTTATCATAGATGCTTGCTCTCTCAATAAATGAGGATTATTCAGGGCATTTTCTATGATAGATTTTATTAATTATTTTCTTATATGTCCTATACACCATTCAAGCAGTAACAAATTTTTTAACCAAGTAAATAAAATAACTAATATTATGAACCTTTCACAACAAAGTTGACCTTTCTTTGCCACGAGTGACACTTTATGAGTAGGCTTGAAAGTATTAATCCGCCAATCAAGTCCTCTTTCAAAATATTAATTCCCTATTATATCGTCTCAATATCAAGATTATAATCAATGGGGCACTTTTGCAAAGATTCAATTACAAGTCCCATGATAGTTAAAATATTATTTCTATTTAACACACATTTCTTTTTATATAAAGGTTCAATAATAAATAAAGAACTTTTTTAAAAACCGAAAAATTCCATTTAGATATTTTAATTAAGTCTAACGTATTAAATTTAGGTGTTGGACTTGACTGAAAAATCTTTACCCCACACCTATGCTTAATTAATAGGATGCAAGATTTCTTCGGATTCAAAAAGAATCTGATCGGTCCAAAAAAACCTAATATACGGCTAACTAAAACTTTGCAATGTTTTGGTTAACCATGTTTGAAGTAAGAAGTTGTGAAAAAAATATTTGTCAGTATATTCTCTCTCTCTCTCGCGATAGTTAGCCCAAAATTATATTGCAAAACTATTTCCGCGAACAACTATAATTTTAACAAAAACCAAATAATTTATATGTTTTCATTAATTATTATATCTATCTACCATTGTTAGAATTAATTATATCATTATTATAAGTATTGCTATTTTTGATTTTATTTTTTTCTTTAACTTTGAGTTCAATCCAGGCTTTAATTGCACCTACGGTCTGGTGTTGTTTGATTGTAAAATTTTCTAGTGCTTTGTTCGAGATGGTCCTTATGTTTTTCTCATTTATAAGATCGTTCAAAACTTCATTTATCATGCCAGCCTTATATAGAATAATCTTTTCCTGCATAGTTTCGTCGAAAAGGTTTTAAATTTTCGCACGAAAATGTTGTGCGTTTTTGAAGCTGAGGATAAAAAAATATTTGGTTTACTATGAGTTTCTTGCCAAAGATGATTAGGCGGGATATATGTTTGTTGGAGCGAGCTTGCCTCGAGAATTACTTGAATTATTGGTTAAAGTATCTTTTTCGTGTAATCTTTGTTGAATTTCTTAATAGAATAAAGAAATCTTTTCGGCAAGTTTATCGATTTTTATATAAAAATCTTTAGATTCATGTTTTTGTTTCTCGTTCAATAAATTGAGTTCTGCATCGATTGTTGTTTAAAGATGTAGAAAACGAAGTATTTGATGATAATAAATAGATATATGGAAACTTTTCTTCAAGGATTAAAGGATCTAATGGCATTTGCTTGAGAGCTTCGAAAAACTTGTTTGACGTCATAAGTGACAGTTCATTATATAATTGATGACAATACCACTGAACATTTTACTCAGGATATAAATGTTCCAACATACCTTTGATTATTATTGAAGAAATTATTTAATTATACGAAGTAGTTTGTTTTATTTAACGAATTTTTATTACGTTTTGCAAATGAGTTATGAAATATATAAACAAATCATCATGCTTTTATAATGATGTGTCATGGGTGCACATAATTTCAAAGATCGAAAATCGTTGGCTTTCCCGAATTTTTCACACTAGCTCTGCTAATTATTTTACCTGATAGGTTCCTTTGACATATCACATATAGCACGCAAGCCTTGAATAGATGTCAAAAATAAACTTACTCGTTTTTATACACACTACTAATGATGGTGACCGAAATCATTTTAGCAAATCCGAAATAGTTTCTCCCACGGTCATTAGGAATTTAGGCACCTAAACTAGTGACGAAACTTAAAATTTGTCTAAACTGTGCGTGAAATCCTAAACTATGGGCGAAACTCCTAAGCCACGGGTGAAACTCCTAAGCTATTGGTTAAATTGTCAAATCTATGAGCAAAGTTGTGATAAATAATACGGATTCACAAACCATCAACACCTGTCGATATTGAAAATATCCAATGAGAGTATCTCCTGTCCGGTTAGAGAGATTTAACAAAATTTAAGTCATTTATTATTGCAGTCAATTAAAACTTGGAAATTGATTCCAGAAACTTTTTGTCAATTCGAATTAACGCGATACTTCTATTGAAATAAATTCTTCCGGATATATATTAAGATATATAAGAAGGAAATTTATGTACCAGGAATTCAAATTTGAATTTTTTGGCCATCTTCTAGTATTTATATCTACTCACCGAGAAAAATTTGAATATTTAAATAGCAAGTTGAAGCAATGTGACTCTAAAAACATATTAGGAAAGTATCATGTAAAACTATTCGCAAAGTAGTTACTGAATTATCTTTATTAAGTGATATATATAGAGTTATTATTCATTCGTTTTATGAATTATTCGTTCATTTGAATTATTCGCTGATATAACCATTCCATTCACCCAAATTTTTAATAATACTTTTTAGTTTAATTTATTCGGTTATGAAATAGGATTGTTTATGGAAATTTAAACATAAGAAGCAAATAAATTTTATTTTCATAAATTCGTTATATTTGTTCTGCTTTAGGAACCATAATGGTGGCTACTGACTTTATTCAACCTTATTATAGTTTTAATAATGTTAGAACTGGCTGTTTGTTCCACTGCATGAAACCTGATGTCCTTATGTACAGTATGTTTCAAAAAAAAAAAAAGGGCGCCAAAATGTGAATTCATTTTAAAAGTGGAAAAATTTTCGCATGACAAAGAATGATTGGATATCTTGCTCACATGATAATTACCCAAAGCACACACCACGCGTTGCAGAAACTTTCATTTATGAAAAAAGAATTTGTGTAATGGACTGGGCATTCAAGAGTCCTGACCTTAATCCCGTTGAAAATATGTTGAAAAAAGGAAAGAGATTTATGGTTGAGGAATTCCTCAGGAAACAGCCAAAATATTATTGTATTAGATTTTTTTTATTTATTCGATTTTGTTGCATAATAATAATAATAATTGTTGAAATATGCGCATCCTTTTTTTTTGAAACACACTGTATTGGTATACATATTTATTTAAATAGAAAACAATTTTATATTAATCAATCAATCCATATTGTATTATTTTATTATCTTTAGGTAAAGTGAATGCAGTTTAATAAACTATGGTAACATTATATATGTAATAAAAATTATTTGACCGTTCGTTTTCTTATGAAAAGATCTGTTAGTATAAAATTTTAGCCAACCAATCATTTTTGTTTTTTTTTTTCTGGAATGTTTTCAGAATTACACAATAACGGAATTTAAAGGCTTCTAGATCATCGATCATTACAGTATTTAGAAATCCCGGCCGGTCAAACGGACCCCTGAAAATTTTGAAATAAATAAATAGCCAAACAATTAAATTAATTGTGCAAGAAATGCTTCATGTATAAATTTTATAATCAACAATGTCCACCACACACATTAAACTTTCAGAATTAAAAGAACAAGCAAAAGTACTAAATGAGCCGAATGAGTACAAATTAAAAGTTTGGGTAAAAGCAACGGAAAAGTTGATTGAAGAGGCATGTCCTTTTTCTTCAAGTTTAATGGTAGAATTCTAGTCATTTGATTATTTTCTAACATGAAGAATTTACAATAGTTTGATATAGCATCGAGCTTAAACAACCATGAAGTTATATATAAAAATGGGATAAAAATTGGCTCGTAAGTTCTTAAAGAACCATTTCTTGAATGTAGGATATATATAAAAAATACATGGATAATAATTTTTTATCCAGGAAGTTTTCTTTTTTTTTAATTTTAATAAATTAAATTAATTAATTAGGATAATACTTGAAAAACTACCAAAACATAAAGACTTCAAGGAATTAATCGAAAATGCAAATGATCTGGTGCTATATAAAACATATCATGAATTAAAAAAGGTAAGGCTATTTTACACTATTAGTCATTAAAAAAATATTTATTTGAATGAATGATAATATCTTTAATATTTTTTTTTTATGGTATCGATTGCTGTTTAGAAACTTCCTAATATTATGACAGAGACAGAAAGAACTTCACTTCTAATACAAAAAAATCAAGATCAATTGGATAAAGATGAGAGTGAACATAGCATTAATAAAATGCCAGAACCTTTTACTTCATTCAACTCATCAAATTCTAATCTAAATTTCAATCAAGTTTTTGATTCTTCTCCAGTGTATATTGTTGGAAACAAAATGATTGGAAATTTAACGTCATCAACACAATCTCCTAACGCAATCACCATGACACCTGTGGATGCCTACAAAAATAAGATTGAAAAGACTAAAGCTGACTTGAAAAACGATGACTCATTTTGTAACAATAACAACATTAATATTAACAATGAAGGAAATTTTGATACATATGTAAAAGAATCTTCAAGAAACTCCATATTATACAAGTTTTCTATAACACCCAATTCTGAAACTATAAATGCTTCAGAATTGAATGAGCTTTTAATAGAACCTGACACTGCACAAAAAATCTTATTGTTTGATGTTAGGCATAGGGAGGATTTTGATCAAAGTCATATAAAAACAAAAAATATTGTATGTTTAGATCCTCTCATCATAAAAGATGGGTAAGATTATAAATATAAATTATACATATCAATTATTCTTATTTTTAAAAATATTATATATTAAATTTAATTAATGATTTCCCATTGTTTCTTTCGGTGTGGCTTAAACAGAGTTTCATCGCTAGACATGGAATCAAAATTAATAATTTCTCCAAAAAAAGAACAGGATCTTTTTAAAAATCGTAACCTTTTTGAATTAGTTATTTTATATGATCAAGATTCTGTATCCAAAACTCCAAAATTGGCTCAAACCAATACCCTAAACAATCTAATTAACATAATCTACGAAAATGAATACATGAAAAAATTGAAACGTTCTCCATTACTACTAAACGGTGGCTTTGCTTCCTGGAAACGTTTATATAGTGAGACGGGCACTGAGTCCACTAGCAGTGAAGATGGAAACATAAGTAATCAGGTTGACGAGTACGGATATGATTTAGGTCCTATCAATAATCTTTCTACTACAAGAGCCAGAACAAATAACCATGATAAATCTAAAAGAAACGCAATTATCATCCCAAATGATAGTTTACCTTTATTAGATACTCTTAGTCGTCAAAGGTATGATTATTATTATGGTTACCGCTGATATTGATTTATATACAAATCCATTTATTAAAATCTTTACTAAATAAATTTAAGCACGTTACATAACGAACAATCATACGCAAGGAATATAACTGATTACGTAAGTATTATTATGTCATTTTAAAATAAGTAAAAATATCATTACTAATAATAAATAATCAAATAACAGTTTCAACATCCCAGAGTTATTTATAAACAATCAATGACTGGAACCGGTCATGATCAAATAGCTTACAATTCGAACTATTTAGATTATTCACAAACCAATTCAACAAAAATGCCATCTCGTGTTGAAATGCCTATTCCATCACCATCATCGTCATCGTCATCGTCACCGTCACCAACAGCTAATTTACAGTATCAATCACCTGAAAGCTTACCAAGAAATCCACAGAAAGAGCTCTCAGATACTCAACGTGCTACTGATTTGAAAAGACGTAAAACCATTTTTGACCATCCTTATAATGGTTTTACTAATGTTCAAAACTCGGATTATTTACCAACACGTTCACAAAAAAAACAAAATACTGCTGTAAACACTACAATGTCACCACCACCTTTGCCAAATAAAGTATTACTACAGGTGGGAGGTAATCCTACATCGCCACCACCACCATCATCACCATCATATAAAACATCTCTTATAGTGCCGAACGAACAACCAATGGAAATACTTAACAGACCATCTTCAGGTCTTGGTCATTATCACCAGCGATTTCCTACATCCGAGAGTTCTTTTTCACAGCTGAGTTCAGGAATTGGAATTGCTGGATTAAAAAATCTTGGCAATACTTGTTTTATGAATTCGATCATACAATGTTTGAGCGGCACTATTCCATTTGCTCGCTACTTTTTAAACGGAAGCTACAAAAATCATATTAATAAAGTTAACCCTTTAGGCACAAAAGGTGCTTTAGCTATAGCATTTGCAAACTTGATCAAAGTGGTATGGAGTGGACAATATCCGGTTGTTTCTCCTGTAACATTTAAACAAGCTATTGGTGATTTTGCACCTCAATTTTCAGGAACTGATCAACAAGATTCACAAGAATTTCTTGCATATTTATTAGATGGGCTGCATGAGGATTTGAACATTGTAAAAGTTAAACCCATTATTAAAGAATTAACAGAGAAAGAAGAAGAAATCATGGAAGGTCTTCCGATTCAAATTGCATCAGTGTTTGAATGGGATAGATACATGATGCGCAATTCATCTATCGTGGTTAGTTTATTCCAAGGACAATTTAGAAATCAACTGAAATGTTTATCCTGTGGTAAAACATCCACAACCTACAATACATTTATGTATTTATCATTGCCAATTCCTAAATCAAAATCAGGCAACAAAAATGTTAATTTATTAGAATGTTTAGATGCTTTTATTAAAGAGGAGGTTTTGGAGGGAGAAGATGCATGGAAGTGTCCTAAATGTAAAATACATCAACGTGCAACAAAACGTCTTTCAATTTCAAGATTGCCCGATGTTCTTTTAATTCACCTCAAGAGATTTTCGTTTAAAGGGCCATTTAGAGATAAAATGGAAACCTTGATCGATTTTCCATTAAAAAATTTGGATTTAACAAGATATGTTCCTTCCCCATTACCACAATCCGTTAACAATTCTGGTAAAAAGGTGTTGTTGAATTCCACCGACTCGGATGCATTGATTGATTCTTTACAACAAGTTGGACCTTTTGTATACAATTTATATGCAGTATCAAATCATTATGGTGGATTGAACGGTGGACATTATACAGCATGTGTACGAAATAGTTTTAAAAATGAATGGCACAACTTTGATGATAGTCGTGTGTCAGTTTGTAAAGAAGAATCTGTTAAGGTATATATATATATCTTATTATTATTATTATTATTACATATATATTGATTGATTTCTATTTATTATATTTATATATGTTAATTTTTTTATTTTTATTTCCATCTAGTCTCGTGCTGCATACAATTTATTCTATGTTAGAAATTCTTTATAATCAAAAAAATTTTAACCATTTAAAAGATTTTTTTTAATATTATTTATTTGTTTTAATTGATACAACAGATTAAATTAGAAAACAAAATTATTTAACATTTATCCATTTCTTTTTTTCTTTCTCACATATATTCGTAATATATCAGTTATTATTTGGCACATGTTTCTTTTTTCTTAAATTAATAAATAAAATAAATAAACTGCATTGCTCAAGTAATAACAATAAACTTTAAGCAATTAATGCGAGTCTACTCGGGTCACAGAATGAACGATTCTATCCAAACCTCCCCAAAAAATTACTTTCCCATTCCCGATTGCAATACAATTATAATCCGATCATTCATTCCATTTTTCTAATATGATGTTTTTATTGGTTGATTTATAACCCTTGGTTGATACTTGATATTTAAACAATTGAAATAATAATAATAATTAAATTCGCATTATTATTAATTTATAGTCATATTACATCCAGATTCTGTTGGACCTAAAAATTAATATTCATTTTAAGCAATGATCTTCTTTTGTAAGGGAAAAAAGCCACATATGAAGATTGGTTGATTCATTATATTTCCAGAAATGCCAGGAGATTCTGATTATGTTTTCGTATTCTCAGGTTCCGACGCAAGACATTATCAAAATAATAACAATCGATATTTATCAAATATTGTATCATCGTCATCAAATGATCCAAATTCTCAATTGCAACAACAATCACCACCAAGTTATGAAGAAGCAATTAGAAATTCAATAAATCCCACTCATATGACCGCCTGCCCCTGCCCTGCAATCAATAATGATCCATCTGAAAGAAACATTCAATCATCTAATGAAATTGTTGTCGTTGTTACAGAGAATGAGAATCGACATTTGCTTAACAACGAAAACAAAGGAACAAATTATTATTATGGCTCGAGTAAAACACCATCGTCACCAGAAGGAGACGAAGAAAATATGCCATCCCCCCCTGAATACACCGTTTCCGATATTAATTTTGAAAGAAGTCCCGAAGGTGTTGTGTCTTGTGATTCAAAGCTAAATAGAGAACCAGAATCATTGTATAGATTTATTATTGAACATAATGACAAGCCTGAAATGGCAATAAAAATACATGGATATCATCATGAAGAAACAAGTCAAATTGGTGATTCACATACTATGCCTCAAGATCGTCGGGTTACAGATTTCTTGATTACGCTAGATTTGACAGAATTCATTTTACCAAATGGAAGAATTTATTCAAATGATTCAAATGTAGAGGTTATGGAGATTATTAATGAATATGTTAACCATAAAAATAAATTGAAAGAAATCATAATGAAAAAGGTTATAATTTGGGATTACGAATCTTTAACAAGAGCAATATCAACAACCATTCGTCAAAGATATCGCCATCATATAGAAATCACGTATCTAAGAAAAAATCACATTGTAAAAGTTCAATCAGATCATAAATTTTCAAGATTTACCGAGAATCGCTTGACTAAGTTTTTATGCTTCCTCACTTGTCTTTGGTTAATTTTTTGGCCTTTATTCTGGTTATATAAAAAATCATTTAAAAATAAAATTAGAAGTGATTTTTATATGTCAATATCACCAAGAGATTGGTATCATCAAAATATAAATCTTATTCTTGCAAATATTAAATGGCTTTAACCATTAATTTTTTTATTATATTTATATAATTTCCTTTTCTAATCAATTGTTTAGGTAGGGTCAATACTAAATAATTATTAAATTAAAATTTGTTATATGTAATATGTTGTATTAGTAACAATTATTTAACCTTGGATTATAGATACTTTAAATGCTTTTGAGAATAGTCGATTTACTAATCGACCAGGACGATAGTTCACACACAGAATTTATTAACGTGCCACCAGTTATATATATTAATGATCTTGAGCTTTCCTCATTTAAAACCCCATATCAACTCTAAATTATGTAATTTTGTAATTGAAGCCAAATCCTGATTGAAATATAGTAAGTGTATCTATTTGGAGGGAGAGTCAACATAAGGATGCAAACGTGAACCATTTTTATACATTACGATGATTTTTACCAAATAAATTCTTCTATGAACTAGGACAAAGTAATAATCTCCAGGGACGGCTGGATGTAAACAGAATGTTTGCAGTATTAATTCCTGGTACTGTTAAGAAAATAACGCATTAAAAAAAAATCTTTCAATAATTTATAATTCATATCTCAAAATAGAAAACTTATACGGAAAAGATATCTGGTTTACACTTGGTCTTTCAAACCTTGTTCTTGTTTGTCATTTAGACCCTGGGACATTTGTAACATTATTGGATGTTGAATTTGTTTGTTTCAAATTGTCGTTTCAATTTGAATTCGCATAAACTACTTCGACTACTAATTGTACTTTCAAAATTGGAATGGATTACTTGATCGTGTGTAATCTTTTATTAGGCTTTGATCAAGCTTTGCCAAGCGTGTGCTTCATGTTTTTTACATCTATCTGCCAAATTTGAAAATATTAGCATGCCATTATCATCAACAATTGATTGTTGTATATGTGCATTGTACTCGGTTCTGCTTTGATCAGATGTTTCATCAGAATTAAACAATTCGTATAATCAGCTTCTTCATCGTCTAGGACTCCGTCTATTCAAGGAAATTTATTTGTCATATCAGTTACAACATCCTCAAGTTATGAGTTGATTTTAGAAGTCCAAGTCATCAGATTGAATTACCTCAACGTTCTTAAATTAAAAAATTATACTTTCTACCACCGCTACTTAATGATTGACTTATTGTCGTACAAGTACCAACTTGTGATAACAATAATAAATAATAAAATCGCTTGAGAAAATTTTTTCACAGAAAAAAAATCAACACAATGGATTTTGCAAAAAACCTTATTCAACTTTCTTCGACTTCCTCAAATACTAAAGAGGAAGATCATCTAATTAGTCAAATTAATGAATACATTAAATTGTATGAAAAAATAGAAGAAAGAGAGATAGAACTCAACAATCAAATTAACTCTTACCATGAAAAAATCCAACAAAGTAAATAATTTGAATTTAAATCTTTTTTTTAACATTTGTTCATACGGTCTAATTTGTTATTATTTAATAAATTATTTTAGCGGGTGTAATTGCACCAAAAATTAAAGAAGCTCTTAAATCCTTATATGCTGACATGATAGACCAGACAGTTTGCGAAGAAGAGTAAATATTAATTTATTTTTATTTTTTTATTTTATTTTTATCTTTATTATTAAATAAATATATATATATCTTGAAAGAATCACCAAGATAATCCTAAGTCACTGTGATAAACTGTTATTAATGAAACCTCATCATGACAACGAATATGACCGAGCAACAGGTAAAATTAGTTTATAATTACTTTTTACCATTCTTGTTATTTCATTCACGTTCACTCACCCACTTCGTCCACTTGCTCATTAATTATATATAGGTAACTTAATTATAAAAGGTTGTGATGATGATGACGACGATGATAACAACAACAATAACAACAACGACA